AAAAAAAAAACAAAATTAGCTATTCGAAGGAAATGTTTCGGTCCATTAAGTCGTGTACATTACTTTTCGGCACCACGATTGAACCTTATCAGCATGAAGATTGTGGTATAACGAGTATAAAATTAACTTAAAATATGGAAAATAATGTAAGGGAGGAGTTAAATGCGAAGGAGAGAATGTGAAGTTAAAAGTGTTTAAAAACCTAAAAATTATGGAGCAATGGACGATATGATTTCATTGTTATTTATAAAAGTGTATTGCGAAATAATTTAAATTGCCTACTCAAAAATTCAGAAGCCAGGACCGTTTTTGCATCAACCAGCGATGCATGTAAGAGCGATGTTCAAGTGCTGGTTAATGTTGGTGAGGCTGTTTTATGGCATGGATACCGACTCAGTAGTTATTTTTGGCTTTATCTTGAGAGAAGAGGTTTAGCTTATAGTTGTTTTAATTTCCAGGCATTGGAGGAGGGGACACTTCGAGGCCCGAACAAACCACTGCCACCTACACCGACCGATCAGTCGCCACTCTCAGACATTCCAGGCGATGATGGAACTCTGATTGCTTTACATAAGGTTTTTTTTCTTTCAGCGCACCTTATGTTTGAACTAATTTTTTCCAAAAGCTTCGCACTTTTACCTGTTTGCTTCTAAGTATATTAGATTTCTGTCATATCCTTATACACAGGGCAGAAATATTTTTGCGTGCCTGAAATGATACAATTTGAGATAAGGAACTATTCCAGATATTATTTGCAAGAAAAAAAAAATGCTTTGATACAGTCTTTGCTTCATCCCTTGGCTGTAAACACATATTTAGCCATAGACAGATCCAGGGTGCTCTCCTTGGGGAGGGAGGAAGTTTCTACTTTCGTCCTCCCACGAAGGTTTCACAACATACTCCTCCCCTCTCCCTCGCTCTAACCAGTGGACGTTAAACTGAGACTGAGGCCCCTATCCCTCGCTCCCTCCCTCCGCCCTCTGGATCCGCCAATGCACCTAAAAACAGAATGTGGATAGGAGTGGGGATTATCAACGTAATCTCCTGCCCGCCAAGTGTTTGGTGACCTTGTGAAGTAGCAGCACACAACGATTAGCTGCCTGCTGGTGACCTAATATTCCCTGCCTTGCTTGTCTTCTGCTCCGAAGTGAGGTAGCAAATGTACCTCAACACTCCCTCTTCCTTCTCATACCTTGTGTTCTGCTGCGCTTCACCTGCTAGAGTTTCCTTCCACAGTTTTCCATGACTACTGATTGAAGCGTACTGCTGGCCAGCATAATCATAAAGCAGTTTTCAAAGACATAGGTCACCGAGTACGGAATTCATGCGGGGCGTTTGGCCTATTTGATGTACTAATTCATGTGAAATCATTGGCGACACGCACTGGGCGGGTCCATGCGATCATGCGTTTTTGCAGTGTTTCGTGCTGTAATAAGATCACTCGAAATTCCGCTAGCTAGAAACCTCTTGTAAATACTGGTCCACAAATTTCGGAAAGTTATTTATCCACGCTATACCGGAACAGGGAACATTCCCTTGAAATCACAGGTTTCCAGCTTTCTCAGTTCCCGAGTTACCCAAATTCCAGCCAGAAAATTTCAAGGAACCGTGCGTGACAGCCACGTATAACGGGAGCTGAATTTGATAAATTTAAGTAGTAGATGAGTTGGAAACATTTCCTGAAAGTTCCAGTCTCCCAGCTTCACTGGTTCCGGAGTTGACAATTTTCACGGGGCCGTACGTGGCAACCACGCATAACGGGTTGTAGGTGAGTTGGGAACATTTCCTGAAAGTTTCAGCCTCCCAGCTTCCTTGGTTCTCGAGGCAACGATTTTCGCGCCAGGGACCCTCATGGGGACGTACGTGGGAAACGCGCACATCTGGGAGCTGAATTTAAAATCTTTGAGTTCTATATGGACGGGGAAAATAATCCCAAAATTTCAGCTTTCTAGCTTTTCTGGTTCTCAGTTCAGCGATTTCCCCGCCAAAACTTTGAAGCGCTCGTACGCGAGGCCTAGACGTGCTTGGGGATTGGTACCGCGGTCCTGGGGTGGCATTTTGCCAGGGAACCCACTCGCAGAATCTTGGCGCCGGAGTTTGCCTTGGTGCCGAGTTGAAATACCCGGACAGACACACACACACCGGGGTCGTCACAATATGTGTTTTTTCATATATGCAAAAATGCATAATTATAATAGCGGGTTCTTTTTTTGCTCCAATTGTATTCGAAAAGCAACTGACCGTAAAACGGAATAGATGATTGTTGTTCGCGTCGGAAAACGACTTCTTCATCCACGGTGCTTATAACTCGTGATACATAAGGACACGCAGTTTTCACATATTTTTCCCGCATCAGAAAAGTAACTGCGAAATTTTAGCGTAGCGGTAGT